GTTACCGCGGAATACCCTACCATCACCTACTAGTTTTCAACCATTACCTAGGAATTCCCAACAACCACCTACCAATTTCCAAATGTTACCGCGGAATGCCCTACCATCACCTACTAGTTTTGAACAATTATCTTGGAATTCCCAACAACCACCTGCCAATTTTCAACCGTTATCGCGGAATACCCTACCATCACCTAATAGTTTTCAACCATTACATTGGAATTCCGAACAACTACCTACCAATTTCCAACCGTTCCCGCAGAATACCCCGCCATCACCTACTAGTTTTGAACAATTATCTTGGAGTGTCCAGCAATCAACACGTGATGCTCAATCATCACCTGCTAGGTTTGAACCATTTTTTTGGAATGCTCAACAACCACCTACCGATTTTCAAACATTGCCGCAGAATGCTCAACAATCGCCTAGTAACTTTAAACAAGTGTCACGTAATGGGAAACAACGACATAGGAAACACGAATGAAAAAGATATAAAGTACGACTTCAAGTTTCATTCGTATTATAAATAATATTATTTGAGTAACCGGCATTTTTCTGTTTATATTTATTCATTATAGTATTTCTCTTCTGAGGGACAGCAGTTTTTATATTTAAGCGAGATGTTTTGTTTACTTTTACTCCTATTTTTTGAAGGAATTCCCTAGTGACGTTCTGTCAGCGGTATGTTGAAGGCTCCAGTTTCTCTAACTTGTTTTTCGTAGAGTTTTAGTTGCGAATGTGGGTGTGGATGTGGGCGTGTTGGATGTGAGTGCAGGGTTTGGGTGTGGAGTGTAGGGGGTGGGTGTGGAGTTTGGGTGTTGGATGTGTGGGTGTGTGAGACAAGAAGACTCACACCCACACCCACACCAACACACCCTCACCATTTTCATGCATGTTTTTGAATGTTTTAGGAATTTGATAAATTTTAAAATAATGTTGTCTTATGTTGTATCAGATGAAAAAGACGTCCAGAGTCCTTCTCATTCGATTGCTAAAACCTACAGGTCGCAAACTGTTGTCATTGTCAAGTTATTGCGATCACACCTACTCCTTATGAATCTTAATGCGGACATAAGGTATTAGTAAATTAAACTAGCGTTCGGATGTGGACGTAGGTATGTGGTGGCTGTAGGTATCTGAGCTTGTGGGTGTGGTTTCTCTTTACTCACAGTCACAACCTTTATCCTAAACTTATGCTCCTACATTTCATTGAGAATCTTCCATTTGATTGTACAATTATTTTAGTTCATTTGGACTTCAATTAAGAAAATGTCGCACTGCAAATCTACTTCTATGTTTTATTAAATAAACTGTTAATAATCACAATTCGATCAATATTAGTTCATGTTGAATGGAGAAATATTGGTTCGAATTAAAAATCAATTATATGATGGCATTTGGATGTATAATGCAACTGCCATGGTAGCATACCAAAGCCATTGAAACGCACTTCAATGGATAAACATCGATAGATACGTGTTTGTGCCATTTGATATTTCATTTCGGTTATGGTTCAATAAAAGACAACAAAGTATTGTCTCGTATGAGCCGATCGAAAAACTTTGATTCAAACCAATTTTGGATAACGAATTTTAAATCTACTAAAAATACATCATTAAATAAATATGTAATTATCTTTCTTCATTCTGTTATTTTCGATACATTTTTTGCTTGCAACAGAAAATAATTGTAGTAAACTATACAAATGATTAAACAAAAAATTATCGTTCTTCAAATTCAGCTGCTATTTCACTCAGACAAGATTTTTGTCGAATTTCTTCATTGATTCTTCTTGTATTTTCTTCAAATATCTCTCCAATTGGAACTAATAAATCAGCAGCATCTGCATCTCCTGCTTCCTTACGTTTTTCCAAATCTTGAACACAAATTAGAAGATGTTTGTGTGCTATTCGTTCAAGTTGCTGGCGAAGCATATTCATATTGAAAACTAAATCATATCTACTCCATATTGGCATTTGTTGATATTCTGTTAAAATTTGTTCTGTTTGACAATAAACATAGAAAGATATTCGTGGACATAAGAGATTTTGATAAGTAGAAATAAGATCAATTGAGGAATGTGGCAAAAATATATCCATTTCTAAAACATTTTGATACTTTTGAAGTTTAGTTGTACACTCATCACGTGAAAAATATTGAATAAAAAATTTTGGATGAAGAAAATCTTTTTGATCAAGATCTTCCAATATATTGGACGGACAAAGTAAAATTAATAATGATACATAATCCATATTGGATGCCGAATTAGTTAATCTAAAATTTTCTTTTGCTATTAGAAAAAATCGATATTTGATTAGATCAATATTGATAGATCATAGGCGTCAAAAAAAACCAAGAGACAATAATCGCATGACTACAGTAATACAGAATTTGATCAGATCACAAAATTCTATTTCTTAATACCAAATTCTTTTCTTTCAAATTCTTATTTTTAAAACTCAGTACGATCATCAAATCTCACTTTAGTATTAAATGAAGTATTTCTACAGTGAAAAACCTATTGTCGAGCATGAATCTCAATATACTATGTTTCTTTTTTTTCTCGAGAATATAGTGCTGAAAATGCATATCATTCTATTCATTTACAATTCATGAATCATATTTTTTCTCGAAAAGAACCTTGCCAGATTTAGAGATCTCGACCCAATTGTGAAGTTGCGTACATTGTTATGCAGAGTAGCTTACCGCGCATCGAATGATATATATACGAAATAACGGGATTATGTGCCACTTGATGAAAACTGTTGCATTCGTCGATATAACAATACTAGTATATCAGTACATCAAGTTATACCGAATTCTTCTTAAAAGTTATTTCTATTGATATTGGGATGCTCTTATATTTGGTATATTTAATAATTCTCGTCGTACCAAAATCTGCACCTTTGGATCAATTTTTCTCTGATTTTTCGACTTCACGACGTGTTAGTGCGAGCAATACTGTGCCTCAGAATACAATGTTACCAACACACAACTTTTCCAGAAACTATACTTGATGCTGCTCTATATATTTTTGCAATATATTTGATATTTCTATTTCAAACTTTTAGCTTATATCGGAAAGTACATCGTTATTATCAAGTTTGTGGTACACACTCACTTGTTTTAATCATTTACGAATTAAGCCACATCTACAAACCAATCATCAGCACAAACTTTTACACTTTTATTTCTTAGTGAGTTTTTGCTCCATATTAGTAGAAGCAATCAGTCTTGCAGGAAAGAAAACTGAAAAATTCGAGGAACCCCACAGTTGTTTTGCTTCTAATCAATGTCACATGGCAACTTAGTAGATATATTTCAAAATTATAGCCAATACGAAAAAAAAACATTTCTCTGATTGAGTTAATTTGGTGAGCGTGGGCGCAGCTGCGATTTAAGAGGAGACATTAAGACATCAGACATCTACACCCAGCTAATATTAGTCTTCGAGTCAAGGGGGAAAAGGCGGATTTTCAGACTTTTGAATCCCAATAAAAATCCGAGAAATCCCAAAAATCTTATGAGAATCCGAAAATCCCATGAGAATCCCAAAAATCCCACATAATCCCAAAAATCTCATAAAAATCCCAAAAATTTCATGAAAATCCCAAAAATCCCATGTGAATCCTAGAGTTAAGATTGAAATGATTAGGATTTTATGATTGTTTTATAGGACAACAATACACGAATAAGTGCAATCCTGCTATTATCCGACTTTTCTTATAAAAATAGTGTTCATTCAATCTCCTCGTGTTTTAAAACTTATAGTT